ACATATTGCACATCAATAATGTTTTTTAAACAAAGGAAAGGAAAACTTATTAATTTATAATATCTAACCCAATCACTCGTAACTAAATGATTAGTACGTCTATTCCTTTACAAGAGATCGTGGGTTTGAGTGAGGTTCTGCTTCCATGTGTGCCCATGGTTGGAGGTTATTTTTTGTTGTATTATAATTGTTATATGTGTATAACTTAATTAATGAATGTATAAATTTATTAGGAAAAATATTTTAAACAAATTTACGATATCCAAAAATAAAACTAAAAGTTTGATGAATTACAAATATAAACAGGTAAAGCTTCCTTTCTTACTCCATAAAAATTGCATCCAAAATGTAGCTGATTATTGGTACTGCCACTAACAACAGCAAAGTACATATTTTCTAAGTTTTGTATCAAGGAATTAATGATAAATTCCCTTCATAGCAAACGCCTATATGGTTTTCTATAGAAACAATGCTCCAAATTATGCAGGAAAGCATTGATAGAGGATGTCATCCTACACCTTCAGGCTATCGTTATTAGCTAGGTCAAGGCAGGCCCCTTTTTCTTATCCTAGAAAGTCCCATACCAAATGTACACCATAATCAAACCACAGAAATGCTTGCCAATTTGCATCTGATGCTTTTGTAGGTTACATGGGTGTCCGAGCTTGCAATCACTAGGCTTAAGTTTGTCAAGTTATTTGCTGATGTGATGACTATAAGAACCTGACTGTGAAGACTGAGGACAATATTTTTCCCATTTCAAAGAGACTATTTGCATGTATGAGAAGAGACTAAATGTTCCTCACTGTCTAATTATGTAGTTGAGTTAGGGAGGAAGCAGTTCTGATTACAGGATTTCAGGGTTACAAGGGGAATGTTTGCTACATAATGGAGAACAATATTACATTCCTAATCAGAAAGCCGCTTAACTTAGTTCAGTTCATTAAGGATATGTATTTTCACTTTCTTCATGACCTCTTTATGATGGAAATGCAATAAACTAACAAAAAGTAGAATAAATAAGACCCTTCTTTTCCTCTTACCTTAGCTCGGATGGAGATGGGGATATCTTGAAGTACAGCAGCATCAGTGTAGCTACTCTCATACTGCAGACGAAAGTGGCCTTTAATCTGATTACGAATATCCCTTCCAAGTCTGTTTCTGTTCATATACTTAATAAGATCTGTCATTTTATCCCTAAATTTTTCTGTCTTAGATCCTTTTACAATTAATGCTGTCATGTTACCGATCAGATAGGCACCAAGAACCATATCAAATGAAACATAAATCATTACAAATATCATTTCCCTCAAGTTGACAGCGTGTATATCTCCATAACCTGGAAAAAAGAAAAGCAGTCTCTTTAAGCATTTCTGAAATCTAAACAATGATGTAGCATTTAGAGCAACCATCAGAATGCAAACTGCATCTAGGATTCTCAATTTCATATACGGGTAAATGAAGAGAAATCATGAACTTAATTAATATTGTCTTTCGCATAAGAAAGCAACCTAATAATAACATCTTACTTCAAATATATGAATTAATGGATGCTGCTAATAGCATGAGAATTACCACTTCTGCAACAATTTCATATTTGCTGATATATACATACTATTGATATGTGAACAATTTCATACCTGCTGATATATAATTTCATAATTGCTGATATGTGAACATACAGTTCATCCAAGTAGACCTCAAACAGGTGGTGCACATATAATCTGTAGTACTCTTACCACTACCACAGCGTTTACTGACAGCATTTTACTTCTACCACCACAAACTCATAATTACTCCCTTCCTTGAATAAGCACAGATAAACTACCAGCACAGCATTTCAATAATTGTCCGAATCTTTAGCCAATTCCTAGAATAGAATACCTAGATGCAATTCATCCATGCCAAAATGGTATATAAAAGTTGGCATGGAAAGCACTTTAGAACAACTAATAAATAAAAGAAAATAACTTCCATTTTAAACTACAATATGATAGTAAACCTCAAAATCATATTTTAAATAAGGCTTTTAAGAGTCAAGAAATGACACATATTGTAGCAAATTTGCACAATCCAGCCATCCACTAGCTCCTACCCAAAAAGAAAATGATCCAAAACATAAGTTTCACATATATATATATATTCTGTTTTAGTATTGGAAGACCAAAATTTCCTCATTGTAAGGAAGGTAACCTAAAAGCTTATTGAATTTAAAATTTTGTCTAGCTTCCCATATAATGACATGCTTACTGCCTTCCGGTTTTTTATTATTTATGAAAATTCAATCCCAGGATCCAGTTTCCGTTACATAATTATTTGGGTCTGATTACATCACATAGCTAACTGCAGAAGAGTATAAAATTTCAACAGTGATGACTTCTGCTATTATCTTAGAAGTTAACTTACCAACAGTGGCCATAGTGACGATGGCAAAGTACATAGATGTCGTGTACCGCTTCCAGAGGTCAATATCTCTGAACTGCGAATACCTATAATCACCCAATTTTAAACTTCCAATCCACGTGTACTCTTCTTGCTGTGGTGGCAGAGAGGTGGCCAAATAGTAAAAGATGCAAGCTGCTGTATGTGTGCAATAAAGTTCAACAAAAATAAGCTTGATAATCCTGGTAAACATGTAGTTGATTCGTATGTCTTTCTCCATCTTCTGAAAAAATTGAATGACTTTCCGTACTCGATATAACCTAATCCACAAGAGATACCTGACTTCTTCTTTGTTTCCGGAAGCCTGTTTGAAGAAAATTCTTGAAATGGTAAATCCAAGTCTTAATGTGCTTACAACTCTAAGTTCATTATATATCCTGTCAAACCATATTACTAATTTTATGGCATGAAGTTCTTTCAATCAAACCAACCAATATGTAATACCAATCTATGTTTAATGATATGATGGACAAATTATTTATGGGGAACTTAAAACCAAATACATTGGAATTATGCTCTTCCTTAAAAAGTGAAGACAGGGAAAACTAAAGAAATACCTTGTAAATCAAGTCCCAAGGCATGCAGCCAAGTAAATCAATGATAAAAGATGATTTCAAGTACCTGCAGGAAGAGGTGAGGGAAGGGGGAAGATTAACAACAGCAATAGCTAAAACACTAAAACATGATATTATGTGATCTAACTAAAGCAAACTGGGGTTATAAAAAATAAACAAGCAAACTGGACAGGATACTACTTCAATTAAATGTTCTTCAATTGTCCACACGATGCTGGAACACATAAAATCCAATGGCATGCCAACGTGAAGATAAGGATAGAACCCCACTAGAACTAACATAACTATAACATTTCCATATGTTTGTCAAGCTTTAACTATTAAAAAATCTTTTGATTCCGATAAATGTTAACCTTGTTGAATTAGTCATATCATGGGACTAAAGATTGATCATAACCCATCTTTCTTGGTTGTTCTCTATCAATCCATTAACAGCACAGACAGAGAATGTAATAACTGATGGATAGGAGAATATCAAAACTTTAATATAGTCCATGAGGGTACTACTTCGTACTACAAAAAGAACAATCTGATGGTTGATTACACAAATGTTTTAAGTTAATAAGAAAATAACAAATATAGTTTAATAGTAACAACGAAAGGAACAAAGAACCTAACCGGAGAGTAATTGGGGTGTGCTTATAGACCATTCGGTATGTCTGGCTGTCTCGATAGGCAACAAAAAACTGCAAAACAATGTCTAGCAAGAAAGCAACCTGTCCAGCAATGTCCAGTATAAACAGGTTCTCTGGCAGACCTCTGAAAAACCCAAATTCCAAGGGAGTGAAGAAGGACGAATACAGTGCCCATACCAGTATGAACGTTGTCCAGGCTCGATACCACCTGCAATTGGTCTTGTGATTTTACTACTTGTAAATTGTAAACAGAAGATGGACTTTACAATGCTCTTATGGTTCTATAAACAAGTAACTACGAATGACACTTCCCCATGTAGCACTTATTCAACACCCAATTCCTGCGGTTAGTGCCCGAGGCTATTGGCTCCTATGTAATCGTCTCTTTTATTTATCATTGAGACTGAATTCCATATGGAGATAATTGGCTTCCCCTTCTTTCCTTAAAAAAAATTCAGGCTATGCAGCTGTTTATTTAATCAAACAAAGGATCTTTTGATTGTTAAAATAGTACTGTATATATCACAAAATTGAATGTGACTTTTTAACCTCCCACGTCATTAAATAGTAACAAAAAGTATAAATTTTCCGGAGCTTGGAGACTTATTTATATGCTCATTTTTGTCGCACTGTTCTGTTCTGCTAGACTAAAAGTTAAACTGTTGGGTTTCCTCTTTTTCATTTGAAACAATAGTCTTTAAACTATTAAGGTTTGTTTTTCTTTTTACTTTCTTTTTTCAAATTATTTATTTAAAATGAAAAGTAACAATAATATATTATTAAGAAAGACTATTTTTTAACGAATAATTCAAACGAACAAAAATATTTAAAATCTTCAATTAATATTCTTGTAATTTATATATCCTCGTTCGTTATAAAAAGTGACTATTAATAAATTTTAGCACACTTATTTTTTACCAAAAAAAACTAGTACCCGCCCCCCCCTTAGTAATTTTTTTTTAACATTAAAAGAAATAAAACTTGAAGCACTTAACTCATAAATTGACCATTGCTTAATTTTTTGGAATATCAATTAATTTTATAATACTATATAAATTTAGCTATTTTATTTCTATGATTAAACTTTGTTGTTTGACACACAACACAATAGGCTTGAATACTATTGGTTGTTAAAAAATTCATGTATTCTAAATAAAGTAAAGGGAGAAAAACCAGATGAGTGCTGTCATCTAAACAAATTCATGTTGACTTGTCCCTTCTAATCATAGTACAATTTTGTTTTAAATTTCCTTTACCTATATCAAATGATGATGGGAAAATTTCAAGAAACAGCTATACATGTTTTTCACTATATTCATCAAATTAAAACTTCATAAATTTGATATTAATGCCAGCAACGACAATTGACTCATTGTTGTTAAAAGCTTTAGCTTAATTAATAATAGAAATCAAAATAAGTAATATGTTCAAAGGATCATGCTTGAAGAATTCATACCATTAGATCTTATATAAACTTATGTGTTAGTTAATATATAATTAACAATCAATAATAATATATAAATTTTTAAATTAAGAAAAAAAGTAAAGGCAAATTACTAATTCGTACCTTAACTTTGGACTATACTGTAGTTTAATCTTAACATTATGTTGATTATAATTTAATCCTTAAACTTACAAATTTATTTTAAAACGTGATTTTTTCTAAATAATTTTTTCATAGAAACAATTAAAGTTCTTTGGGTATTATTTGAGTAATATAAAAAAATAAATCTTAAAGAAAATAACATTATATTCTTATTGAGGAGAAAGTTTGAAATATTCAAAAAAATTATTGTTGTATAATTCTTTTTCTGTCTTAATATATGCATTATTTAAATAAATAGATTGTTATTCTTGTCAAATTCATTAGTATTTTAGTTACTATAAATTTTTTAAGTCTGTAGAAAAAAAAGAGTATTAATTCTCTAATAATCTCTTAATAATAGAAGTAAACATCAGACTAATACTCATCACTATTCCCTTTGGGTGAAGCATAACTAGACTATAATATCATTTTGCTAATAGGTTAAATGCATCCACAGTCTTGACCACACAAAAGAGACAAAGGCACTGTTGCATTAATTAGCATGTGATACAGATACCCTACAGTTTTGCATTAATAATGTATATATGGACTGTCCACTGTTCAGTGGGTGAAAAGATCAAAAGTAAATCGTTGTTATAACAAGTTATATGAAAGTAATTTTCACTTTCTTTATTACCAAATTTATCCAAAAAAAATAAACATATAACAATATAAGTTTATTATGAAAACTAAGAAAGCTTCAAGTAATCTTTTCTTGCATAATACCAACGAGTGTTCTTTCCCACTGATCAGTTATTTTTAAAAAAAATATATATGTATTTGTTAATTGTCTACCTTCACGTTAATAAAATTATTCTCTTATAGTCGGGTTAAATAAAAATATGACGAAATTAAATAAAATGTTCCTGAAATCATTATGCGGCTAAATAAAACGGCATCTCTCCCTCTGGCGGGCCAGGATATGATGACAACAGGATCATCGGAAGTACACAGTATTCCTCATCCCAGCCATGCATACAGCTGTGTGTCTGAGCTAACGGCCAAGCGGCCGAACCGGACAAGTATGGACCGACGTGATTCGGTGCCTATATTTTCACCGAAATTTCAAAAAGTTTACTAACACCACAGCATAGCACCAAATTTCAGTGAACAGTCCAATCTTCTTGTGCCACGTGTCTAATTTGGGATCTAATTCACCTCAAATCAAAATTCGTGTTTCTATAAAACCAGAAAAAGAAACGCGGAGAAAGAAGAAAGAAAAAAACCCCAGCAATTTCGGAGACATGGACGATGGGAGAGAGAAAGAACGTGAACGGATATGTATTCGTTTTAAAAAAAAGAGAAAGAGCTTTTAGAACTTACCTGCTATCTGGAGAGATAATGCATCCCCGAGAGAAGTATTTGATGCCATTGATGACGCTCTCGCGGCTAAACTTGCGAAGACTGGAATCCAAATTAAACAGGTTCGACACCAGATTGTACCGGCTTCCTGCCGACGACGATATTCGTTCTTTAACATCCTCCACCACGTATTCCACCTCAATCATCCCTCCGTTTCGATCACCTCCCATCCTCTCCGTCCTCCAATCAAATGTTACTTAATTCTGATCCCTCTCTCTCAGCCACGCCGTCTCACCGGATTATATATCATTCAATGTCTCTCCTTCTGTGCATCAATCCACGGCAACTGATTGTTTAGAAGGTTTCAAATTGTTGATAGAGGATTTTATTTGAATCTTTGATTAATAACGAAAAGAAGTAGCAAGAAACGACAAAGGCCTAAAAGAAATACAAATTAGGAGCGAAAAAGGAGGATAACTGAAAACAGAAAACATACCTTTTGTTTTCCTTGTTGCAAAATCGGACACGAAGGTCATGTGAATAGCAATGTTAATTATATTTATATATATATATGTACATGTATATAGTTGCTTAAGATAATGACGGCGGAGATGGCTAGTTTTTCCTTCGATTGCGAGTCTGCAATACAATCTCCATTTCTTTTTCTTCAAACAATGCTAAGTATACGTTCAAATCTTCAAAAGACAAAGAACTACATAGACTCCAAAGAGTAGAAATCCAGAGCTCAAAACTTTCAAAAATCGCAGAGAGAAAAGACAAACCGGAGTAGAGAAGGAGACAATTTATTTTTGCCGTGTTTGGCAAGGAAACGTTGGGGTTGCTGAATTTATACCTAATCGCCCCCTCTCTCTTTCGCTTCGGGGTTTTTAATTTTTAATTTTTTATTTTTTATTTTTTATTTTTTATTTTTTATTTGAATTTTGTTGTTTGGTTGGATTAGCAGATGATAACGTAATTAATTTTATACCCGGGTGAGTTATGGATCTCTATCGGGTTTACTCAATAGATTTGAAAAGCTATTAATAACGTAACTGGATGACGTGTAACCCGCGTTTCATGGCGCCACGTTTGTTTTATTTTTTTAAATAAATTATGCGATCATATTGGCGGCCGATAATTCAATAATTAAAATATTAATAATAATTCAATAAAAATAATTTTATTCAAAATTTTTAATAAATTATTTCGTTTCTTAAAAAAGTAAAAACAATGAAAAATTAATTTTATATTATATTATATTTATGTGTGTATAATAACAATAATTAATTTTTTTTTTTTATAATAAGTGAAAACCAAAATTAAAATTTATAGTATGAATGGAAGTGTAAATACCCTTGACCACAATATACAGGAAATCTTTCTTGGAATTATGGGATATATATATACACGCAGCTTACATTAAATATAATGTGTGTGTGTGTGTATGTATGTATACATGTATATATACCACCGGTTTCAAAATATTTGCTGATCCGTTACACTCATTCCCAATTTTTGTTTTCTTTTTTGCTTTTTTCTTAATTTAGATTAAATTTTTTAAAAAAATTATTATTAAATTAATTTTAAAAAATTTATATTTGTTATAATTTAATTATTAATATTTATCTCGTTATTTTTTAAAAAAATTAAAATAATTAGATTAGTTGAATTACTTTTTAACACCGAAACATTACGTAATAATTTTAGTTTTTTTATTAAAAATGAAAAAAAAAAAATCAAACATTTGAAATAAATAAAAATAATTTAAAAATTAAAACTAAAAGTGTAATTTATTATTTAATTAAGGAATTAATGTGATTAATTACCCAACTAATAATCAATTTATGTGCAATTAATTTTTTTTTAAAAAAAAAAATTGTGGGCAATGATCGAAGTTTCTATAGACGTATAAAGTTGTAGCTATAAATAATAAAGTTCATTAATAATTAATAACGAAATTTTGTGCATGCATTAATTAATGGAGCATATTAATTATTATACAATATTATGTGTGTGTGTGTATATATATATTTATATGTACGTATACATTATATGTGTGTGTATGTATGGCCTTAAATGGTTTCCTTTTTGGTCTGTCACTAAACCGGAATGTGACTCCACAACCAACTAGCTCCTTTGTGGGTTCACCATATTCACAAATTAAAAAGGAAAAATTAATTAATTTTCACAAAAAAGAAGTTTGTAAAGTCACATGGTATATATAATATGCTTTTAATGACTTTCTTTTGTTAATTTGTGGTACGTTATAGAATTATAATTCGTTTTTATTAAAAAAAATATATAATATTTAAGAATTTATACGTGATGAAAAATTTAAATTTAATTCGTTAATTTGAAAAAAAAAAAATAGAGATAATTATTGGACTAAGATTTAAAAATTATCTATTATAAACTTATTTTTAACATGAGATATTCAAAATTTTACTTCAACTACAAAATTTGGTTTTATGTAAATAAAATTATAAATCACGCTTTCTTAATTATCTATTTATTGATAATTTAATTTAATTATTTATACTAACATGTATATGAGCCGGGATGACAAGAGAAAAATGTGACAATTGTTCATCTTTTATACTAACATATATATATATATATATATATATATATATGAATAGGGATGATAAAAAAATATGTGACGAGTCAAAATTATTTTACTTGGTAGAGATCATTGCAGATTTAAACCGACACTGAATCAAGTTTAATTGAGTCAGATAAATTTTTTAAATATGTCAAATTAATATATGATAAGTTTTAATTTGATGTGAAAAAATTCATTTGAATCTGACTCGGACTTTATTTATCAATTAAAATAAAAAAATTATATAATATCATAGTTGTTGACGATTAAATAATAAATCTACTTGAAGTGGGACGGATTTCACTATAAACCCGCACCATGTAACAAAAAAATAAAATAAAATAATTTTTTCAAAAAGTTATATTGAGTTTGGTGTAATTTCAACGTAACATAATCTTTATTCGACCTGGATTCGATTTTATCTCCCACCAGATTGTCATCTCGACATATAACATATATGTAGATTGTTTAATATTTTATTATTATTTTGTACTCAGTGACTAATCAATTAATACAGTTTAGTATTTCTTAGAGCAAAATTTAATATTTAATAATGTATATAAATATAGCCTATAACTTTATAATGTTAAACATTTAATACTTGGTGTCAAAATTTCGATGCTAATTAATTAATTAATTAATTAGCCCACATGAAACGCAGGCACACATTATATGAAGCAAATGGCCAGCTAAAGTGAATGAGTCACGTATGTGCATTTGGGCTTTACTTTAAAAATAAAAATAAAGATGTATATATATATGTATATATATATATGTGTGTGTGTGTGTGTATATATATTAAACACCACGTATATCTATGTTTATTCAAGGTTTGCGAAGGTGGTGCTCTCCACAATTGAGATATCCTGCTTATAATTAAATTATTTAATTAGTGCTTCTTCCAATTACAAAAGATAATTAATTGCTAATTAATTAGGTTATGGAAATTTAATTACTAAAACACAATGGCGCACACTTGTTATAGCTCTTTGTTTTGGCTGCTTATCGTCATAAGACACTCTGCTTATGTTACTATAATATATATATATATATATATATATATATTTATATACATACATATGCACGAAGCATTTATGTGTAACATGACCACTTATTGGTTATGCATGCTACATATATATATATATATACGCACACACAAGAAGCATTTATGTGTAGCATGGTTACTTTTTGTAATGGGATTAGAGAATTAATATGATGTATATATATATATATATATATAGAGAGAGATATATATCTGTGACTTAAAAGTTATATACTTTATAAGTTAGGAGACCATATAAATTTAACAAAGACAAGTAAATGTTCTTATAATATAAAAGAATTGATCTTAATTAACAAATGTATAAGAGATAGTGATAAGGGTGAAGAGAGAAGTTAATTGGTGAACAAGTGACAGTATTATCTTTACCGTAAAACAAATATTATTAAATAAGATATAATATATATATATTATATATATATGTGCATTATAATATAATTGAGTTTTCAGATTTATTAATCAAGGGTTTTTGTTGGTTTACAATTAAAATAAAATTTTACTTAGTTTTTGAACGTAGTTTTAATTATTTTTTTAGACCAACATGCATGCAACTATTGCATTATTGACTTAGAGAAGCACCAGGATTGAGCAGTTAATTAAAAAATTAAACTCAATTCTTAATTTATTATAATTACTTTAATTAAAAAATATTTAATTATTATAAAATATTTTTTTTATTTAAAAATATAATAAATTCGCTAAAAGTTAACCTAACTTTACAAACTCGAATTGATTGTTTAAGTACTTAAAAATTATTTAAGTAAATACACAATATGCAATATTATTATATTTTAATAGATTAATTAACCATTTGATAAATAAGCCAAAAAAGGGTCTTAACTTTTAATTAATTCCTACACTAATCCCAAGTTGTGTTGTGTGGCTTGAATTCAATAAAGTTTTAAATATATATATATATATATGTCCATTACACTGCACGAAAAACCAACTAAGCTTTAAAAAATTATATGTTCTTTAAGAATAAGAAATGGATTCTTATCCGGAGGAATAGTTGTAATTAATTTTTTAAAAAAAATTAAAGTTATAATTGGTGTATTAGAGAATAAGTGGATACTAATTAAGGGCTAATCATATTAGAATTACGTATCATTCAAAAATAATATAATTATAGAAATCATTTAGAAAAAATTTTAATTCTGTAATTCACTTTTTTTTTAATTTATTTTAGCATCCTTACGTGTATGATAAGATATGAAAACGAAATAAATAAAAGTGAAAAAAATAATAATAATTGTCATTGAAAGTGAAGAATTAAAAAGAAAATTATTGGTAAGAAACAAAAAGTGAAGTAGAAGTTGACTTTGACCTACTGTAATGTGATTGATTGCTAAACTTAAAGCCAAAAAATGTTACACCTGCCCGTATATGACTTGACTTAAAATAAATAAGCTATAAATTTTATGAGATTTTAATCATTAGTTTAAAGCTAATAAATTATTAAATTCTTCTAATTAAATTTTATTCATATATTATTATTATTTTAAATATTAAATTTAATTATATACGATTTTTTATTAATCCGAATCATAATTTATATGTAAATAATTAAATATTTATTTTTACTTATGATGTTGGCAAGAGTATTTGTTGTTTTGAATTGGACCGTCGAAGTGTACTGTCATTTTATTTTTAAAAAATTTAGAAAATATATGCTGATAATGACATAAAATTATTATTTATAAGTTTTTTAATCATTATATCAAATAATTTAATATGTTTTAAATACAATTAGTGATTGTTTTAGTCTTTAAATTATTATTCATGCTATAACTGTATTTCAAAAAAAAAATTTCATTACAATTTAATATTTTAATGTACAACTACAAAAATTTTTTTAAAAAATGACATGATTTTTTAGGTTATTTTTATTTTATTTTTAAACTTAAATAAAATCATTGTATCTTAAGGTTACTTTTCATATAGATGCAATTTTTTAACTTAATTATATCAATATTTTAATTAAATTCTTAAATAAATATCCACACAAATTCAAAGTTTACTTCAAAAATTGGTAAGAGAAAATTAAAGAATATATTAAAAATTAATTTTTTATAAATATATTTAATTAGTCTATCAGATAATTGGTTGATCATTTCAATCAGAATAAAACTCAACTGAGAATGATCATCGACAACATCACAGTTTAAAAAATATCTTTATCATTAATCATATTCTAATTACACGATCACGATTCATCTACCAAATTTAAGATCATGTCTCCTTAGAACACAAAGACACAAAAGTACAAACCTATAAAACATATGCTGTTCAATTAAGGTCATGAATATGTTACAAAATTAATAGAGTTTGAAATAGTCATTGAGACACAAGTTTTGTGAATCGCTAATTAAATTCCCCAAAAATGTTGATTTGTTATTAACATTGCCTGAAACCCTTAAACAGTTTGATTCCCTCCAAGAGCCAGGATCATATCAATCACAATCAAATAAAATGCCCCATCAAAATTAGACCATCCTGCCTCCCAGGTACAAGAATGAGTGTAAACCAAGAACAACAATATAATTGTCGTAGTGGATGGATGCTTGGTATATAGGTATACTTTTGAAAAGTTGCCCGCAAAACCAGCGTAGTTTATTGAGTTTAGCCGATCTTGTCTGTTTGCTACATAAATCATGTACAAGAAAGAGGAACCGATGCTTTGTTACAGCAAGTAGCCGGACGTCAAGGTGTGGGTAGATTTTACATCACCAGGATACATGTTAGGAAGTATTTGGATAATTCGCAAGTGGCTCCGAATTCTTCTTGCCGGGACGAGTGATCCAATTTGAATTAATCAACCTGAATCAAGGCAGCCATATATTGCCAAGCAAATTAGTGCTCTGAAGATTATTTAGGAGCAGTTGATGCGTATATTTATCAAGACAAAACTATGATGTCTTATTGTCAATTTTGTAACTTTCTGAGATCAACTTTAGACCATTTAACTGATAACTGACCTAACGGGTTACGATCTGTTACTACCGAAACTAACAGGAACTAAAGACAAGTTATCCTCCTAACTTTGTTCTAAACACAGTCGTCATAATTTTTTCCAAAAGTTACCACTTGACCGTGCATAGGATTTCCAACTTCCCAAATTGACGCAGAAACTCTAGAAGCAGGAAAGAAACATCTTTTAGTAATTAAGCTTTATGCTTTTCTAGAACAGTGATACTATTACATCCAGTTTTTCAGCATAACAATAGTTCACCAACTAAATTTATATCCAAGTTATATAATGCCCGGCTGAAAAATGTATTTTGAAAACCTAAATCTTAGGTCCAAATAAAATGAAAACAATCTAATATTCAAACCAACAGCTTTATCAAAAATTGCCCTGGAAAGGAAAGAAATTACTGCATAGGCATAACAGCTGCGCTCTGCCATTGAACCATCCAAATCACGACTTGTGGAATGATTTTTTTTTAACACAGAATTCTATCCCCAAGGAGAGGAAGAGAAAATACCAGCAAATTTAGAAGTAGAGTTCATAGATGTTGCGCTCTCCAATCCACAGCAAAATCCTCATCACTATCATCATCACTGGATGATTCTTCTTCCATAGGCTCTTTTCTAGCAACCTCAACGCCTTTATTACGTTTGGCTGACCTAGCAGCCTCCAACTCCATTTTCTTCCTCTTCAAAATTTCCACCTTCTCCTTGTAGGATCTGTAAAAATGGTTAAATTTTCAAGAACCATTTGATGAAGATTAAAACAGAAAAAAGAAATAAAAAAGTTGATAGAAGAGTATATTCTTCCATTGATTTAAAAAACAACTCACTTTTGTTCCACCAGTTCCTCCTCTTCTATCATTTCAGCCGCATCAAACTGCATTTTGTAATGGCAAGATCATAAAAGAATACTATAATTCTACAGTGGGATCGAGTTGCTAGTAAAATAAGCCATGTAATATGATAACAGTTCTGACCTCTTCTTCTTCCATACGGTTATCTACCTCCTGCAAGTCCTCTTGGATCAACTTCTCAAATTCCTTGTACTCATCTCTGAACAGCATTTATAAAATATTCAAAGTAGGTTGTCAGTCCAAATATGTAACTCATAATAAATACTCATTGCATAAAAGGTTCTGATGCATCGGATGAGTGAGAATACAACAATGAGGTTTGAAATCCAGACTTCGGATATTATATTTGCTAAATAATAGAAATCTCCACCTATATATTTGTTGGACACCAAATAAGATCTTCTTGTTATAACGTTTCATATGGTTGGATTTTTCTAATGCAAGATACACCTGAACAGAAAGGTAGTAGATGGTGCTAATATCTGTTAGAGAAAATCATGCTAAGAATTATATTTGCTAATTAGTAGAAGTCTCCATCTATATATTTATAGGATTAAATAAGACCTTCTCTTTATGAATGTCTATTCCCTTTCCCTATTTTTAATATCAATTGATTTTTCTGATGCAAGATACACCTGAAATACAGAAGGCCGTAAATGTTTCCAAGAGATGTTAGAGAAAATCACAGTACAAATTGTGTAGTCCTATGATTGTGATTTAGTAATTTAGATTAGCTCATATTTGACATATTAATTCATGGGATTTTCCTTCAATTTGATTGCATTCTTCCATACAATTTAGTGAACACAAGATAGATGTGCAGACCACTCTTTCCATGATGATTGCAGGCATACACCAACTACTAAAACTTAAAAAATATGTTTATCAGTGTATACCTCCAGGGAAGGGGGTGGGGGGGTCCCTAGTAATACTTCAAGATACTAAAACACAAACTGTTGATATCATCAATCAATTAACAAAAACAAATTCCCACTGTTTAGGACTTGAATGATCAAAAGCTGAAGAATTTATTGGTTAAGTTGTAAAGGCAAAGCAGTATATAGCTCACACACCAATGTCTCACTGTCAAGACTAATTAGGAAATCATTTCGAAGACTTCCCCATATTAAATCAAATTTATCCTCGAGCTGCACCATTTGTAAGTTTATTAAGGCCCTTTCTCACAATTTTGGAAACTAAATCTTAATCCTTAAACCTCCAAAACCAGAAGAATGAAAGATGAAAATAAGGATTGAAAATAGATTTGAAAATACATGACCACCAGAGAAGTGGAAACTTACTTGACATCTGGTTTAACGGGCTTGATACCACGAGCTCGTAAATCAGCCTCTTTGTTATCAAAAAAGCCTTCAGGAATAGATCCCTTTACTTGCGTGGTCTCTGAACTTGTATGCTGTACATATTGGTTTACGTGTTCCTCGGTAGACTTGTCACTATCAACAGATAAATTAGCTTGATTGCTATCAAAGAAGCCTTCAGGAAGAACCCCCTTCACTTGCTTGGTTCCTGAACCAGCTATGTCTGCCGATGTCTGTCCAGCCTCTCTCTCAGGCTGATTGCTTTTTGTCTGGCTGACTTTACCACAAGGCAAACCATCCAACTTATTTTCCAAGTTCAGCGTCTTCGCCTGAGATTGAGCAGAAGCCCCTGACATTTTGTATGAATCAGGGTCCACTATCCTAACTAAAAATGCATTATAAGGTCCTTCATTAAAATCCAAAAGGTCATTGTACAAACGTTCAATTCCAAGCCTTCCACCAAAAACAACAGAGTGCAAAAACTAATGGAATGATTGTAGCCAGACACATGTATAAACAAAAATAAAGGCCAATCAGGAGCCACATTCCAACAAGAACAATATGATTAAGAATGAAGTGGATGTAATAATAGATTACAAAATCTATTGCACACATGCTTTACATGATATAAAGAGGAGAAAAGACCATCTTCATCATTTAACCTACTCCAACTCTTTGCAAACTAAATATGACATCGAAGTAAAAAAAACAATAATAGAATGAGTAATCTGTCTGCAGTGCTACTTCAGTGTAAAACAGGTTACCAATTCCTTTCAATTGTTATCATTTCAATGAATTTTAAAGTGAATTCAAGAAGCTGGAACTTTATAAATGCCATAACAAGTTGCAAACATGATACAATGAGGGAAAAGGTAAATGTGCTGTAGGTTTCAGACTGGTTTAGCAGACTCTGGAACCAGCTACCAGATAATATTTTTTCTACTTACAAAAGAGCAAAGTATTAAACAAGTGAAAGGGGAAACAAAAGTGAGATACAAGCTCTTACCCGTCTTTTGTTTTGCCATATCATGATTATCGAAAAAGTTAGAAGGAAGCCCAGATGAAGTCTTAGGATCCGGTAGTCTTGTTGAGGGTTCAACTTTCATCTTTTGCGAATTCATAGCTGACTCGGGATGGGACTCAGGCTTCGTATTGTTAATTTGAGTCCGTCCAGCAGCATTAGCTTTGATATTATTAATTGCCTGATCAAAGAAAACCTTCCATAAGCATGTGATCCGACTATTGCCTGACTACCAGCTCATAGTTGGAAAGTAACTTATGATGCACAAGAAAAAAAGATATGTATTATAAGGAGATACTGGTCCAATACAAAATCAAACTATTTAAAAGAACAAAAAATATCAACAAAGGCTCCAAGATACTCCCCTAAGAAGATGGAGTGACATATATACAAAAAGCTCAAGGTCTGAAACCAATGATCTCTAATACTAACAAAAGGAGTGTCCTCAAAAACTCTGTTGCTCCTTTCATTTCAAATCACCCTCATGATAGCCAATGGGATGAGGCTATGAGTTTTTTTCCTCTATTTATAGAAATGCCATTTCAGGCCAGATTTCCTCTGCCACTGAACTACTGACACCAACGGCATCCCATAATCCTCTAGACTCAGGACACTAGAGGAGAATTAGGGCATTCATTCCCCGGAAGGCACAAAGGACAGATATTGAATATGATTCCCTCTTGCTTCATTAGATTGTCAAAGTGAGATTCTACCCCAAGCAGCCTCCCAAGCAAAGAAGCAATGTCAAAAGAAGCTTTCTTCTTCCCTGTTTACTTCCAAGAA